GCGAGTGTACCTGCATTTACAGTAGACATAGCATTTTCCTTCATGTCAGTCCTATATTCATAATACAAAAATCCGTTTGAATGTCCGCTGCGATATCTTGTCCTTTTAACAGCAGTGTTGTGCAAGTTACTTCCAAACTGTACAAAAGTAATGCATTATTACAGTAACATTACTTTTTGCTGTAACGCAGTAGTGTAAGGCATTACTAATCAATTTTCAGTAATATTTTACTATATTACATGTTCAGTTATGCTTGCGTTACAACACACTTTTAGTTTTAATTGTAAAAAAAACAACAACAAAAAAAACACCAAGACCGCGAGACATTAACGAATGAAAAATGCAAGTAGGCTAAGTTACCTGTTCGTGGTCAGTCAATAATAGCCGCGTGTGGTGTCCAAGTTTGTAAATAAAGACTAAATGGCAGCGTCTGATATATTTTTTACAGGAGTTAAAAATAAATCGCTTGATTCGGCCTCTGTGCTCGCGTTGGCCAGTGGAAAAGCGGCTAATGGGTGAAAAAGAAAACCGTACATTCGCGAGATGGACGTATGCGCATTAGGCTACTCCATTTGTTCTGTGTTTTCTTTCTAAACAGTTACTGTAGGCTATGTTTAGGTGGTATTTTTCTTGTTTTCATCACGCAATCATTTTTGATGGGGTGGTGACGCGTTCACGTAGCCTAACATGATGTAAGGAAAGTAACTAAAAGCTGTCACAAAGAACCGGCAAAAGCAATGATTATGAATATGTCAAATATAGCAAGGAGACATTTTAATTGTTTATTAATAAAGATGAAGTTGAAGTTGCTGACTCGCGATCTTCACAGTAGTGAATGCGCCAGAGAGAAATGCACATTTCATACAGATAAACAGGGAGCAGTCCGTTTTCTTTCGTTTTGAATCGTTCTGTTTACAAGTAGACATTTCAATATATATATATTTTTCAGGTCTGTGAAGTAGGCTACCTTATCTGAGTTTTGGTTAATTTATGAGACGCGCTCCAGTTCACGCGCAGGCGCCTCCATGTCTTGATTATCTATTGTCTGCTACATTTACTTCTTATTTATTAAATCCAGGCAATTGGTTAATGAAACATTGAATAAAATTAAGATACAATTAGTCCAAATCGAAATTCACTTTAAAGAAATTTGTGTCTTCTTTTTGAGGTCTCTGTGAAAGTTTTAAAACAGTCTTTTAGTGCCGCTTCAGAGCGGTCGCGCCCATAACGGAGAACTGTCACGTAGGCCTACATTGTTTTTTCCTCATAAATGCGAACACGAAAAATAAAATAAAATGAATATTTTATGTTCTGTGGAGAGCCAACCCTTCTTCATCCGGTGGGTAGTATTACTTTTGATTTGCGCAGTGCAATTCACCGAATTACAAAAAAATATTTTGCCTCCTAAAAGTAAAAAAAAAATTTGTCACGCATGAATGCGTGTATTTCCCTCATATTAAATATAAAACGCATGTGTAGACTGATATTTTTCTAATGTCTGGACTCTTTTAAGGGGGTATCCTATGGATAAACAGACATTTCAATATATTGGTATTAAATGCATTTTCTGAGAATTTATATTTCAAGTTTTGACTGCAAATGTCATGTCCAAAACGCTGGAATTCCCCAATTTTAAATAATTTATCCTCAACTAGTTTTGTGGTGTAGGTCTACGTATTTTATAAGGTTAACTTCAAAATTAAAATAATACTAATAGTAATTTAAAGATGTGGTAGCATTGGATCTGGACGGGAAGGATAACTCTTGGAGTTGGAAGGGGTGTGTCGCGATTCTGCAGGTTCGTGGATCTGAGTGTCGCGATTTCGAATGTTAAGTTCTACATCTGTATAGCTATTTTGGTGAAAGTAACTCAAAAGTAATACAGGAGTAATGTAACGCATTACAATTCTGAGACAGTAATATTGTAAGGTAATGAATTACTGTTAAATTACAGTAACAAGTAATGTATAATGTATTACAGTTTGGAAGTAACTTGCACAACACTGTTAATGAGTGAGTGTAATAATTTACCCTTGTGCATCAATTAAAAAAAATTACACATAGCAAAAATTGTAAAAACTGTCAGCAGGATTTGAAGTTTGGGAGCACAGACTTAAAAAATGTATAGAGGTTTAAATTCATGAAAATTATTTATGAACAAAAATATGTATTTTATGCAACATGTTGTACTCGAAGGCAAAGCCATACATCTAAACAAGTTTTGTTCCAAATTTGAGGTTGATATCTCAAAAGATGAGCTTTCAGTGAGATGTTGTTTGGGCGCAGTACTCCAGTTCTCCACTGGGACACAGTGGGATTTGGGATTTGCATTAGTCTCTCTATTACATGCACACACACATTTTTGTTTTAATACACACAATAAACCAGAATCTGACATCCATACCAACACACCCACACAATTATAGCTGCATCATTTATTTTTTAATTGCCTCTATAATATCCAGAAGCAGAAAATAAAGTATTAACGTCATAGGCCAAACCTGATAAAATGGCACATCTGGAAAAAAGTATTAATATATATATATATTTTTTAAGCCCTGCCAACAGAATGAAAGCCTAACAAATACTGCATCATTTTATAGTTAAATGGGCCTGGGATTAAAAAGGGCCGTTTTAATGGGACATTTTTGTGTGTAACTATTTTGTGTTACTAGAGTAAAATAGATTTATTAAAGGAAATGAGGGTGAAATAGTAAAATTCCAATAAAAATACACACCTGTGCTAAAATGTATGCAGTTAATGCACAATACATAGTAAATGCTATCAGGAAATGAGGAGACTTTCAACCATTATATCAGACAATGTTTCAATTCAGACGATTCCACCTTCAATTAAAAAGATTAATTCAAATTCATTTAATTTGGCAAACTACTGTGTATTTCTAGCCTAATTTAATAATTTACTCATCTGATTCGTTCAAATATGCTGATCCTTTGATGAACAAAACGTTTCCTTATGTAACTCCTGTTCCCTGAAGGATGTAATATTTAACCCTTATTTAACCAGGGAACCTTAAGTACAGTAATAAGTTACTGTACTTAAGTATCTTTTTGGCTATGAGTATCAAAGATATTGATATACACACACACACACACACACACACACACACACACACACACACACACACACACACTTTCACATCTGAAGTTCACCCAAGAATATATAGAGTTTCATGTGAATAATTATATAACACATGTTTGATATTATTTGAAATGTCTCAGTGCGACTGGTACAAAGGTCTCATTCTCAAAGAAGTAAACCAGAAGGTAATAAGATATTTAAGAGTTTAGAGATAATTCACACACATAGGAGGGTGTGTTTTCCAGGATAATGACCTCATGCTCTCAGAAGGTGTGATCTCCATTCAAATTCCCATTGTTAGTAAATGGTTCCATGTAAATCAACTTCTGCCCCCAATAAGTCTGGGACGGTGATTAATGTGAATTTCCACTGTGAGATCATGTTTACATATGAAATGAGGTCTGTCTATATGTAATAATGAAATGCAACTAGAGCTCAGGGCGTTTTCTGTAACCCAGATTAGCCAGTGATGCGAAGTGCACCAAAACACTGCCGTTTTTATAATGTCAAGGTATTGCATCTTCTCTCTTTATTTCAGAGCATTTGATGTTTTTATCTATTATCTTTGAACTGATTATGCAACTGGCGTGATACATTTACTTAAATTGTAAACATTTGAATTTATTCCAATCGAATCGATATTATTTTCAGTAAAGAGTTCAAAAAGAATAATCTAATATTCGTTCACTTTTAATGATGCCCAGAAATCATTAAACCCTTTTTCATTTATGGAGTCAGGTGAAATAACGAGATGAAAAAATGTATTTCGTTCAATCAAATTACTTTGTCACGCGGAAAGACATCCAGTGCAAGTAAGCTTTGACTCTTTAATATAATTTTCTTTATCCGTTATGCTAATGCAAATGCATTTGAAGGATATTGGTTTACTTATGCCCTTTTTGTGCCCTTGAGTTTAACTGAGACTTGAGAGTTTGTAGACCTTTTTGAGAATGCACATTAAAATGCACTTTTCAAACTTAAAAATGGTTGTAATTCAAGAATGCTTTAGAAGGCCTAAGTTTGGTCTTGTTTTAAAAATGTGAAAGCACTTCAAAAAGTATGAAAGTATGAAAAAGTTATAGAAGTTTAAATTTACAGTAAATCAAATATACTGTACTTAATATTTTTTCTTTTATATAAAATATATAATTTACAAAATATTTTTTACTATAAAATCAAAGCCATATATCTAACCAAGTTGTGTTCCAAATTTGAAGTTGATATCACAAAAAAAAATTTAAGTTCCCATGAGATTTTGTTTAGGCGCAATACCAAAAATAGCCACCGTGTGACATACATTCCATTGAGTTTTAATCGTATGCATTCTGCCGTAACAAATGAATACATTTCTGTCCAAATATCACTTCTGTCACTAAATATGGAACTTTGAGACTCATACAATATGTGTTTTGTCAAGATTAGAAAAGGTTTTGATCAAACATGATGGCGCCCAAAAGGGGAGGAGCCTGATAAAATAATTTAGAGTACTGTTTCTATGGTAACGCAACATCCAATTTCAAAAGGATTTCACAGGATGAATTCTGAGTTCGTAAATTTTCAAATGATACCTAATTTATGATAACTACTAAAATATGTGATATAATAATAATATATATAATATTTTTAGAGGGAACTATAATTTTATAATTTTTCATTGACAAATACTAGTTTTATTATGAAGTTTTAGCATGAAAACCAAAAGTTTCAATTATTAAAAGTGTGTGCGTCGACCTTTTGTGACAAAGGCCAGAACTCCTGTTAGTTATGGTGTCGATTTTCATATTCTCTAAATTCATAAATTCATCTATTACTGTTCCAACATAATTTGTGAATGAATTACTCATTCGTCAAATTACTCAATTTCTCAACTGTTGTTTTTTATTCCTCAGGAGGAAAGATGCCAAACCCAAACGTGAGACAGAGACTCCCTCAAAACTCCCTCGCTTCATTTGACATCGATTATCAGCGGCACACGATAAATCCAGCGCCGACTGAACTGCGTCTGGTCCTGCTGGGGAAAACCGGAGCGGGGAAAAGCGCGACGGGAAACACCATCCTGGGAAAGAAGTGCTTTGACGACGGGTTGAGCATGAGCTCGGTCACTAAAGAGAGCAAGAGCGAGAGAGCGAGGGTGGAGAAGCGAGAGCTGGTTGTTATCGACACGCCTGGGTTTTTCGACACGGATTTAACAGCTACAGAACTACAAGAAGAAGTGATCCGCTGCCTGGCGCTGTGTTCCCCGGGTCCTCACGCGTTCCTCCTGGTGGTGCCGATCGAGCGCTTCACAGAGGAGCAACAGCGCACCGTACACATGATCCTGGAGATGTTTCACGAGGACGTCACTCATCACACCATCCTCGTGTTCTCCAACGCGGATAAACTCAGAGGAGAACCCATCGAGAGATTCGTTGTAAGACAAGATCAGAAAGTGAAGGAGCTCGTGAAGAGATTCGGGGGGCGATTCGTGGCCTTCGACAACAAAAACCCGACAAACCCGGATCAAGTGAGTCGACTCCTGCAGAGCGTTGATGAGATACTCGCTCTAAACCACAACCTGCACTTCACCAGTCAAATCATGGAGGTGATGAATGAAGCACAGAGGATTATAGACACAAAACTGCAAGCCGATAGAGCCGAGAGAATGAAGAAGATCGAGAAGGAGGTCGGGAAAATGGCTGACGATCAATTGCGTTCGTTTGTTGCGTTCGTGAACGAAGAGAGGCAAGACACAGAGAGGACGAAGAAGCGCATGCAAGGCCGGATTAAACAGATAGAGACGGATATAAAGAAAGAAGAGCAGAATGCGCGGCCGATCCCTGCGAGACTGACGCGTCTCAGAGCGTCTCTGCAGAGAGAACAGGAGAACATGAGGAGGTTTGAGGAACGAGAGATGGAGGAGGAGGAGAAGAGGCTGGGAAGAGTGGATAAAGAAGAGAAGGAACTGGGAATCTGGGCCGAGGAAGAGGAGGAGAGGAGAGTGAACGAGGAAGGGCAGGAGTTTCAGCTTCTCTCGCAACGCAACATGAAGTTGTTGATAATGCTGTGTATGTTTATGGTGGGGGCCGGAGCGGCGTACGCTCCCGCGCTCCTGGCGTTCCTGTTCCCGGCGGCGCCCGCGGTCCAAGCCGGATTATCCGCTCAGATTTTGTCCAGTTTGCTCGGCGCCGGAGCGGCGGAAGGAGGGAGTTTCCTCGGGTCGGTCGCTGTGGTTGCAGTGAGATCTGCGTCTCTAAAGCTGGCGGCGATCGCGCAGTGTTGCGTTCAGTGATGCGATGATGATTGACAACCAAGATTAGGACGTGTTTCTCCCAGTATTAGTTAAGCTTGTTTGTATAGAAGCTTGTTTCCGCCACAGAATAAAACATTTGAAAAGATAATTGCGACTTTTTATCTCACAATTGCGAGTTTGCATCTCGCAATTCTGACATATTTTCTCAGAGTTGTGATTATGTACTTGCAAATGCGAGTTATAAAGTCCAATTCTAAGGAAACAAAGACTGACTTTATAACACGCAATTCTGACTTTATAACACACAATTGCGACTTTATAACACAATTCTGACTTTATAACACGCAATTCTGACTTTATATCTCGCAATTGCGACTATATCACACAATTCTGACTTTATAACACAGAATTGCGACTTTATAACACAGAATTGCGACTTTATCACACACAATTCTGACTTTATAACACACAATTCTGACTTTATAACACACAATTGCGACTTTATAACACAATTCTGACTTTATAACACGCAATTCTGACTTTATATCTCGCAATTGCGACTATATCACACAATTCTGACTTTATAACACAGAATTGCGACTTTATAACACACAATTGCGACTTTATAACACACAATTCTGACTTTATAACACACAATTGCGACTTTATAACACACAATTGCGACTTTATAACACACAATTGCGACTTTATCACACATTGCGACTTTATCACACAATTTTGACTTTATAACACACAATTGCGACTTTATTACACACAATTGCGACTTTATCACACAATTGCGACTTTATCACACTATTGCGACTTTATCACACAATTGCGACTTTATCACACTATTGCGACTTTATTACACACAATTGCGACTTTATTACACACAATTGCGACTATCACACAATTTTGACTATCACACAATTGCGACTTTATTTCACACAATTGCGACTTTATCACACAATTGCGACTTTATCACACTATTGCGACTTTATCACACAATTGCGACTTTATCACACTATTGCGACTTTATCACACAATTGCGACTTTATTACACACAATTGCGACTATCACACAATTTTGACTATCACACAATTGCGACTTTATTACACACAATTGCGACTTTATCACACAATTGCGACTTTATTACACACAATTGCGACTATCACACAATTTTGACTATCACACAATTGCGACTTTATCACACAATTGCGACTTTATTACACACAATTGCGACTTTATAACACACAATTGCGACTTTATAACACACAATTGCGACTTTATAACACACAATTGCGACTTTATAACACACAATTGCGACTTTATATCACACAATTGCGACTTTATAACACACAATTGCGACTTTATAACACACAATTGCGACTTTATAACACACAATTGCGACTTTATAACACACAATTGCGACTTTATAACACACAATTGCGACTTTATAACACACAATTGCGACTTTATAACACACAATTGCGACTTTATTACACACAATTGCGATTTTATCACACTATTGCGACTTTATCACACAATTGCGACTTTATCACACTATTGCGACTTTATCACACAATTGCGACTTTATTACACACAATTGCGACTATCACACAATTTTGACTATCACACAATTGCGACTTTATTACACACAATTGCGACTTTATCACACAATTGCGACTTTATTACACACAATTGCGACTATCACACAATTTTGACTATCACACAATTGCGACTTTATCACACAATTGCGACTTTATTACACACAATTGCGACTTTATAACACACAATTGCGACTTTATAACACACAATTGCGACTTTATAACACACAATTGCGACTTTATAACACACAATTGCGACTTTATATCACACAATTGCGACTTTATAACACATTGCGACTTTATCACACAATTTTGACTTTATAACACACAATTGCGACTTTATCACACAATTGCGACTTTACCACACAATTGCGACTTTATAACACACAATTGCGACTTTATATCACACAATTGCGACTTTATAACACATTGCGACTTTATCACACAATTTTGACTTTATAACACACAATTGCGACTTTATCACACAATTGCGACTTTATCACACTATTGCGACTTTATTACACACAATTGCGACTATCACACAATTTTGACTATCACACAATTGCGACTTTATTACACACACTTGCGACTTTATCACACAATTGCGACTTTATTACACACAATTGCGACTTTATAACACACAATTGCGACTTTATAACACACAATTGCGACTTTATAACACACAATTGCGACTTTATAACACACAATTGCGACTTTATAACACACAATTCTGACTTTATAACACACAATTGCGACTTTATAACACACAATCAGTGGCGGTTCTACATTGAATTACACCCAGGGCGAGACCCTCTTCGAGCGCCCCCCACCAACACAAATAACCCACAGTAAAATCACATATTGTTCATTTGAAAAACAGTTAAGAGAATCCAGTTATTAAACTATTGCTTTAATCTAACTTTCAGGGAGGAACCATTAGCTCATCGGTTACTGCCTCGAATTCTATGCATTATGCATACTTTTTTTCACGAAATAGTGTTTTTAAAAGTGAAAGTGGCCGAGAGCTACCTATGTAGTAACACAATACTTAAATCTCTTAAATAATGTCTCATAACAAACTCTCATATTAACAACTATCCAAACTGTTTTAGACCAAAATAGCTTTTGTAGGCCTATGTCACCCTTAAATGTCAGAGAAAAGAACAGAATCAGAGATAATTTTTTTATAGAAAATTGTACTTTGCATATTATAGGCTACTGTAAAAACACATAATTAGCCTATAGTTGATTTTAGTTAATCATAACTAGAGATGAAATGGTATGAAAATTTCATTTCATGAATATAGTGACCAAAATGATCACGGTTAAACACAGAATCTTGTTCAAAAGTAGGCCTACTAATACACAATGAAATCAATTCACCAAGTTAATAACATTAAAGATGATGGCCAGATTTTAAAAGAGTGTCTTTTATTTTTTCTACTAACATGTACACGTTCAAATAAAGTTTTGAAAAAAAAAAGTTTTATAAAAAGATAAACCTCACATAGTTCAGCCTTTAAATTATTTTTATAAAAAGAATGATTTAAAAAAAGATAAATTACTGACATTTACAATGCACATTAGCTTATCTTTTATTAGTCAAATTCGGTCCGATTTTCCCATGGCGTCTGTCGTTGCTATGCAACCATGCACTGCGCTCTCTCGACAACCAACGACAAAGAAGTTTTAGTAGCTAATGGATTTCCACCACAGACAAACGCTTGCTGTAGCTCTGCTATAAGATTTATTTACGGAGAAGAGAAAAACACCCACGTGTTTGGGTGCACCCCCATACTGAAAAGTTTTTTTTTTTAATTTGCGCGTCGCTTCAATAATGAGCGCGCTTCCCGTGCGCCTGCATTTGAAATAACGAACTCGAGCGCACAAAAGACGCGATATGTGAACGGCCCCTTGGTGAGTTACCTCCAATCAAGAGACCAACTTTGACATAACTTCTGTGCACGGCACCTTCTCAGCAAGCAGGGGCGCCATTGCCAATGATTGAATTGAAATGATAGAAAATAGAAAACCGCTTCGCGGCGCAGAGGATTTTTTTTAACTCCTCGTGCCGCCCCCCATGTGACATGAGAAAATGCCGCCCCGGGCGACTGCCCGGTTCGCCCGTGCCTAAAACCGCTACTGCACACAATTGCGACTTTATCACACAATTTTGACTTTATAACACACAATTGCGACTTAATCACACAATTGCGACTTTATCACACAATTGCGACTTTATCACACAATTGCGACTTTATCACACTATTGCGACTTTATTACACACAATTGCGACTTTATCACACAATTGCGACTTTATCACACTATTGCGACTTTATTACACACAATTGCGACTTTATCACACAATTGCGACTTTATTACACACAATTGCGACTTTATCACACAATTGTGACTTTATTACACACAATTGCGACTATCACACAATTTTGACATTATTACACACAATTGTGACTTTATCACACAATTGCGACTTTATTACACACAATTGTGACTTTATCACAAAATTCCGACTTTATCACACAATTGCGACTTTATCACACTATTGCGACTTTATTACACACAATTGCGACTCTATCACACAATTGCGACTTTATTACACACAATTGCGACATTATCACACAATTGCGACTTTATTACACACAATTGCGACTATCACACAATTTTGACTTTATAACACACAATTGCGACTTTATTACACACAATTGCGACTTTATTACACACAATTGCGACTTTATTACAGACAATTGCGACTTTATCACACAATTGCGACTTTATTACACACAATTGCGACATTATCACACAATTGCGACTTTATTACACACAATTGCGACTATCACACAATTTTGACTTTATAACACACAATTGCGACTTTATCACACAATTGCGACTTTATCACACAATTGCGACTTTATTACACACAATTGCGACTATATCACACAATTTTGACTTTATAACACACAATTTCGACTTTATCACACAATTGCGACTTTATAACACACAATTGCGACTTTATAACACACAATTGCGACTTTATTACACACAATTGTGACTTTATTACACACAATTGCGCCTTTATCACACAATTGCGACTTTTTTACACACAATTGTGACTTTATCACACAATTCTGACTTTATAACACACAATTGCGACTATATCACGCAATTCTGAAATAAAAAGACAGAATTGTGAGATAAAAAGTCGCAATTACCTTTTTATTCATTATTCCGTGCCGAAAGCAAGATTCCATATTGACTTAAAATTTTGAAAAATTATATTAATTTAAAATTTCATTGATTAAACATGACAATGGACTGTTTAAATGCATTTTTATCATGGTCTGTCTGAATACTCAATTCTGATTGGCCGGAAGGTGTCTACTAAAACCACACAGGTAGTTCCAGCCAGTTTTATATCAATACGCTGCTTTTCAGTTAAGCCACACACACACATACGTCACACGACGTCTAACACACAGAGATCGCAGGTCGCGCTGCACACACAGAGACACAGAGATCTGAAACTTTTATTAATAAAATAGCTTCTTCGCTACTGAATTTCTAACATTTCTCCACTACGGGGGGGGGGGGGGGGGGGGGGGGGGTGACCGCTGTTTTTGAAGTAATTAAACTCGCAGCGTTATTGTTAGTGGACAGAGGCGCTGCACAGATGCAGGTAACTAACACACACATCTCTCTCTCTCTTGATAATTAATTAAAATAAATGTAATATTACAGCACTACTTTATCTCTTTCTGATTTAAAGCAGGCAGAATGCTAGATCTAACGAGCCGTAACTGACGTCTATGTGGTGTTTTTAATACGCTTTAAGACACACCATGTGTAAGTTCATAAGTCGACAGCATTGCTGAGTATTTTCTGCTTAAAACTGCAGTGAACCAAAGACAGTCTCAAAAACACGGTTTGAAATCGCTGGTGTTTCTGACGTCACAAACGACCTTGTAACCAATCAGATCAACGTGTGATCGTCAACCAGTGGATCTCTGAGCTGAGTGAGTGAGTGGAGGCGGGGCTCATTTGCATATTCATAGAACCTTGCATACTAAATGAGGCGAGGGTGTCGAGTTACATTCAAGATATTTTAAGGCACAAAGGAAAAAATTTTCAAGGAAAAAAAACGGTTGTATTTTTGGTGATCAAAGATGAGTTTTAAGAGCCACGATTATTGACTACAGGAGGACTTTAAAGATTTGAATTAGGGATGTCAATTTACATAAATTCCCATAGTTGTTCCATCAATTAATGATTAATCCTTAACCATAACCTCTTAAATCCGAAGCGGGGGTGTGTCACTACTAACTCATCATGTTACTGAACAATCACTTGCTTAACCAGCACAACATAGCTGTCGTTTTAAAGCGTAGATGCTTGGCTTTACAGTCAATATAGGGAATATGACCATGCTTTTAATTTTCTGACATATTAAAACTGCTCGATTTTCATAGCATGAAAAAAAAAAAACGCTTTACATGAAAATCTGTTAAAATCATATTCCATAACAGATAGAGTTGTGTCATATATCGTTGAACTAGCCGAATACAACACGCGTGTTTTGTTTCTGTTAGAGACCAAACTATATCAAGTATTTGTATGAAAAATGCTCACGTAAACAGTATAGCCTACGATGCTTTTGCGCCACGTTTTGGTTTGTAACTCCACAAAACATTAGTAAACACTAGTAAATAGTAGATCGCATATCTTTAATGTAAAGCATCTCGATCGAGCCTAAAACACAACATGCGCATGCGTAGATCATGGAGGGACATTGCGAGATACGAGATTTCAGACATTGTTTATTTTATGTACTTTTATTGTGGATTTGACAGAAGTAAGTAGTTCTTATGTTTAGTAAAATCAATTGTTTTTTGGACCCTTGGTTAATTATGTTTAGAAATAAACGGCTAGGTTAATTAATCGATCGCATGGCTCGATGCATTTAGAATACTTAACTATAAAATCATTTAATGCACAGCCATGGATTATGCCTTACATATCATACGTGTAAGGGAACAAATATCAGTGCTTTGAAAGGGACCTAAAAATCAGCATCTATTCAATTCAATTCATTTATTTGTATAAGGCTTTTCACAATACCGTTTTAAAGCAGCTTTACAGAAATGCATGTGTCGATATCAGAGGTGACTGTGTCTCAGAAGTGCATCATTCATTTTTAGGCAGAAACAATGAGCTAATTAAAGAAATTATTATCATCTGCCATCATTTACTCGTGTGTTTTCAGTAAAATGTTCAATAAAGAAATGTCTTAAATGATTAAAGTGCATATTAATCATCTGGTTCTTCTCACATGGCACTCAAAAATTACTGATATTTTTTAATTTAATTAAATGAATGTACTATATTTTAGTTTGATAATGTTTTTTTAATTTAATATTTTGTGTTTTTTTAGGGGATTTATGGTACTAAATTATATGTATGCAACAGTTATAATCCACTTATTCTTACCTAAAAATACAAAATATTAAATTATACAAGTTTTATAAGTTTTAAAGACGACAGCTGGCAGATTATTGCTGATATGATTATGTTTATTATCAAGCCTCAAAATACTATTTTTAAACACGTTTTACTCTAAAACTGAACTAAACAAATTTGAGCTGATATCTCATAAAATGAGCTTTCAGTAATATTTCCAATAGTGATAAAGTATGTTTATGAGTTCATAAAATGTAATTAAAATTTAATAGAAAACTTATATATAACTTTTTCTTCTGAGAGTGAGTTTATTTCTCTAACTGAACTTTTTCCAAATAAAACATTTTCTTGTGCATATTGTTGTAATTGATCATTGATTTACAGTTAATGTTAGTTTTTAGTGTAAAACTCCTTTAACAAATGAAAGACTTTTACTTTATTTCTGTTTAATTTATATTTGTTTTATATCTGTTCAATTATGAAAGCTTGTTTCCGCCACAGAATAAAAATAAAAAGTTGAGTTTTTTTAATTTCACAATTCTAACTTTTTTCCTCTGAATTGTGATGTATAAACTTGCAATTTTAGAGTTATTACGAGATTAGAAAAAAAGTCAGAATTGTGAGATAAAAAGGCCATACCTTTTACCAATTTATTTTATAACAAGCTTCAATATAGTTCAACAAATTGTTATACATATTTTGATATGCAAGTGATTATTATCATCATGTTTATTGATTATAATCTGACGGGCAATAATAAAAAAAACGAGAAACTAACAAAAGGCACTTCTTAATAATGACATCATCCTCCAGGAAGTGACATCATTAATGGGGGGAAATCAGAAGCACAAACTTCAGTAAGTTTTTTTTTCTTTATTGATTTAACAACAATTACAGAACAGAAACACAAACAAAAAAACTTCAGTATGATGTCAGTGGATCTGATGAATTCTATTTTGGTCCTCAGAATGTTTGTCTTGTACAAATATAAGCATTCTTACATCAAGATACATTTACTGGAGAAGCAAAATGACTATTAGCTGTCTTGTTTGATGAAAACTGTATCAAAATAAAGTAAGTTTGAGCTTATGAGTGTTTATAAAACATTGATGCATCTAAAAGATTGAAACCCCCTGATTTAGCTACTAGTCGGGTGCTAATATTCTGATTTAATAGTACTTATTTATTTATTACATAAAAGCGCCACCTGCGGGAAGATCAGGTACACACGCTGTGGTCAGCTGATCTACTGCGTCATCATCATGTGTCCATAGCAACTGTATTTGGACTGTTGGTGTGGCTGCCGAATCAGACCGTTGCTGGAGATCATTTATGTTTTTATATGCAAATGCGATGATCTAAAGCGCACTGGATGATATTTTAAGATGGGGGACAAGCGTCGCGCGGGCGTCGCGATATCGGGCAGCTGTGAGCGCGACGGCGCGTTCGCGTGTGAGTCTGGCGTGAGCGCGCTTCTCGGATCTTCTCTGCTCACACTGTTGGAGTCCAGGCCGCGCGATCCCGTCGGGTTCCTGGCCGAACACTTCGCGCATCTCTCGGCGCAGGATGATGACGCAGGCCCGGAGCACCAGGCCGTGAGTCGCGCGCTCTGGAACCTGAGTCTGGCGCATCACTCACAGAGGTCTGGCGTCATTCACTCTCTTTCCCCCCCTTTCTTTTACACATTTTGTAAGTAAAACTTGAATCACAATAATAATTAAAAAAAAAGTTAAAAAATAAAGGGTGTCTCAAACAAGTAATCACTCTCTTATTACTGCTGAAAACCCACGTAACTTTAAAAAAAAACTTATTTTTTTATTACTTTTTTTTTCATTTTATGTTAATGTATTCAATGCAGTGCTGTTTCTTTTCTTACAAAAAACAACAACAAAAAAACGCAGTGACATTCACTTTCACCTTACAAAATATAATGTATGGGATAACCAATGATTTTTGTATGTTATTTGATTTGATTAGTAACATTATATTATTGGCAAAATACTTTATACATAAATGTAGATTTTTTAAATCCTCTGCTTTGTTTATTATATTCAGGAACGAATTAAAATAGTTCTCAGATGCCCTCACTAAAATGGAAAGCAAGTTGATTTCTTCAATGATTCATCGTACTCTTTTTTTTTTTTTCTCCGAATTACGTCGTTGTACGGGAAACACCTCTTGTTGAGATTCAGTGTTTACACGACACTGTTTTCAACTAAAAACGTAAAACTTTTTATGCGTTTTGACCGTTTGTTTACACGAAAACAGCGTTTTGGGCGCCTGAAAACACTACGTTTTGAAAACAGGTTTCAAAGTGCAAGTTTTTGAAAACGGTCTCCGTGAAAACAACAAAAACGCCAATCTCTGAAGACGATGACATCATGCACATGAGTATCACGTGTTCAAACTATAGTGTTTCATCGCCATCTACTGGCCTGGCAGCAGAATACAGCGTTTTTGTCGTTTTAGCGGATCCGTGTGAATGGGGATCATTTTGACAATAGAGGCTTTCGCCCCGGAGGAACATTTTCATAGTTCCTAGAACTATTCGCGGAAGTTCCCGGATTTTGGCCTGTTGGCACCGCAGGAACTAGGAACGATTTGAGTTCTAGGAAGTCCTTTTGAAGGAACTAATTTACTCCCACTCCAGAGTCAGTCTAAACCAGCGTTATAGGAACTATCCGTGACGTTAGTGTTCGCGGATTGGCCGAACCCACGCGCAACACCAGCACCTGCCATTATTAAAAAGGGTGTGTAAACACACCGATTATAGCCAATATATTTACTCCAGAAACGAACTCTACGAACAGGTAAACAGTGATAGTTGGAGCTCTTAATCTTTACGCTTAGAAGAAACTCCAACACAACTTTGAGGAGACCGAGAGAAACATGATTATGTATTTCTACTCAATAACACTCGACATACACTAATAACTCTTCATTATTGTCTACTTTATATGTATAACAGTTCTATCTAATAACGTATTAGACAGGACTGTTAGACGGATCGTAAACTTATGAACACGGAGAATGCGAGCTCTGGCGTTCTCGGCGCCGTCAAAATAAAAGTCTCAACAACAGGCGTGGCTCACGTCACTAGGGGAAAACGTTCCTAGCGGAACCATTAGTTCTCGGGGAAACACCCTGGTGGTTATTTCCTAGAACTATCTGGTGCGAAACCCCCGTATGGTTTATGCAGAAAACTCAAAGGAAAAAGGTCTCCGTTTTAAGCACATCGTTGTCGTGTAAGCGTACCCTTAGTTTAAGCTCTTGATTCTGTCTTTCCCTGCAGATCAGCGTTCAACAGTAACACGCGCACGGCGTTCAATCTCCTGACCCGTGATCGCGGTGCCGGTGTCGTCGGGGTCCGCGGGCGTCTCTACACCGAGATGCTCCGGTGCCTGTGCAGCGAAGGCGGACTCTCCGGCTCGACCACGGCTCCGCTCCTGCGCCGCGTCCAGTGCCACGACCACGAGTCCGTGCCCTTCGAGCTCTTCCGGCAGGGCGTTCTGACCTGCTCCGTGTTCTCCGACTACATCCGGGCCTCCCAGTGCCTGTACGGGTCGGTGGCGAGCGCTTCGGACCGGCCGGCGGAGAGAGCGCTGGGTCAGGCGGTGCTGGAGACGCTCCGGGAGGCACTGGAGGCGGCGGATGGGGACGATGTGGGCCGGTACCTGGAGGCCAGTGCCAAGATCTCTCCTGGTAAAGTGGCGAAGGCCATGGCGGAGGCTCATCCCGGGAACCAGCAGGATAATCCCGTCATGGACGCGCAGGAGTTCGAAGACGCCGCCGCCGCGCTGTTCATCACTCGAGTGCGAATGGTGACCTGAGTTGGGAAAAAAGTAGATTTCTGTCTTGTTTTCCAGCACAAATATCCAAACATTCTTAAATCAGGATACATTTACTGGAGACGCATAATGTCTGAAGGTGTTTAGTCTTGGAAAATATATCGAAATGAAGTGAGTTTGTGCTTAAAACAAGAACAAATATCCAAATATTCTAAAAAATCAAGATCTAGACGGCAACATAGTGTCGGTCAGGATCCGGTCCACATCCGGTACGTGAGGATTCAACGCTTACCTGATGTAGGCTGGATCTGGGCCGACACTATGTTGCTGTCTGGGGACACATTTACTGGAGATGCAAAATGACTGATGACATTACACTGTATTGGCAAAAGTTTTGGGACGTCTGCCTTTACATGCACATGAACTTTAATGACATCCCATTCTTAATCCATAAGGTTTAATATGGAGTTGGCCCACCCTTTGCTGCTTCAACTCTTCTAGGAAGGCTTTCCACAAGGTTTAGGAGTGTGTTTATGGGAATTTTTGACCATTCTTCTAGAAGCACATTTGTGAGGTCAGGATTTGTTGGATTCATTCATTCAAACTATTCCCACAAAGTTGGAAGCATGGAATTGTCCAAAATGTCTTGGTATTCTGAAGTGTTAAGAGTTCCTTTCACTGGAACTAAGAGGCCAAGCCCAACCCCTGAAAAACAACCCCGCACCATAATCCCCCCTCCACCAAACTTTACACTTGGTACAATGCAGTCAGGCAAGTACCGTTCTCCTGGAAAAGGCCAAACCCAGACTCGTCCATCGGATTGCCAGACAGAGAACACATGTCCACTGCTCTAGAGTCCGGTGGCGGTTGGATGCAGGTGCTCGGCCATGGAAACCCATTCCATGAAGCTCAGTGTTCTTGAGCTAATCTAAAGGCCACATGAAGTTTGGAGGTCTGAAGCTATTGACTCTGCAGAAAGTTGGCGACTTCTGTGAGCCTCAGCATGCGCTGACCCCGCCGTGGGATTTTACGTGAACTACCACTTCATGGCTGAGTTGCTGTTGTTCCCAATTGCTCCCACTTTGTTATAATACCACTAACAGTTGACCGTGGAATATTTAGTAGTGTGGAAACTTCACGAATGGACTTATTGCACAACCTATCTCGCTTGAGTTCACTGAGCTCCTGAGAGCGACGCATTCTTTCACAGATGTTTGTAGAAGCGTCTGCATGCCTAGTGCTTGATTTATACAACTGTGGCCATGGAAGTGATTGGAACACCTGCATTTGGGGATTTGGAGGGGTGTCCCAATACTTTTGGCAATATAGTGTATGTCTGGAAAATGTATCGAAATGGGGTCAGAAAAATAAATTTAAATATTCATACGTTTCAGAAAACCAGCCTCAAAGGGTCAGTTCACCCAAAAATGAAAAAATATCCATATTTATAACTTTATAATCACTGGCTTCCGGTTACGGCCATATGCAAGTCTAGTTCCAGGTCTAGTTCTAGTCTAATTCTGACTTGACGCTTGACGAGTGACCTCTGACCCGACGCTTGACGAGTGACCTCTGACCCGACGCTTGACGAGTGACCTATGACCCGAAGAGTAACCTCTGATCCGACGCATGACGAGTGACCTCTGACCTGACGCTTGACGAGTGACCTCTAACCCGAAGAGTGACCTCTGACCCGACGCTTGACGAGTGACCTCTGACCCGAAGAGTAACCTCTGATCCGACGCATGACGAGTGACCTCTGACCTGACGCTTGACGAGTGACTTCTAACCCGAAGAGTGACCTCTGACCCGACGCTTGACGAGTGACCTATGACCCGAAGAGTAACCTCTGATCCGATGCATGACGAGTGACCTCTGACCCGACGCTTGACGAGTGACCTCTAACCCGAAGAGTGACCTCTAACCCGAAGAGTGACCTCTGACCCGACGCTTGACGAGTGACCTCTGACCCGAAGAGTAACCTCTGATCCGACGCATGACGAGTGACCTCTGACCTGACGCTTGACGAGTGACCTCTAACCCGAAGAGTGACCTCTGACCCGACGCTTGACGAGTGACCTCTGACCCGAAGAGTAACCTCTGATCCGACGCATGACCTCTGACCTGACGCTTGACGAGTGACCTCTAACCCGAAGAGTGACCTCTGACCCGACGCTTGACGAGTGACCTATGACCCGAAGAGTAACCTCTGATCTGACGCATGACGAGTGACCTCTAACCCGAAGAGTGACCTCTAACCCGACGCTTGACGAGTGACCTCTGACCCGAAGAGTAACCTCTGATCCGACGCATGACGAGTGACCTCTGACACGACGCTTGACTGTGACCTCTAACCCGAAGAGTGACCTCTGACCCGACGCTTGACGAGTGACCTCTAACCCGAAGAGTCACCTCTGACCCGACGCTTGACGAGTGACCTCTGACCCGAAGAGTAACCTCTGACCCGACGCTTGACGAGTGACCTCTGACCCGAAGAGTAACCTCTGATCCGACGCATGACGAGTGACCTCTGACACGACGCTTGACTGTGACCTCTAACCCGAAGAGTGACCTCTGACCCGACACTTGACGAGTTACCTCTGACCCAAAGAGTGACCCCTGACCCAAAGAGTGACCTCTGACCCGATGCTTCTCGTGGTTCAAGCAAACTCAAGCTCCCCCCCATATTTCTCTTCCAAATTTCTTATTTTAGACTTCTAATCCAACCCGATCACACTAAATGCGTCTCTATAGGACGCAGTGTGTTTATCGTGTAATTTATACACGAAAATGAGTTTTTACGTGCATAGGATACGCATGGGTTGGTTAGGGTAGGTTTAGTAGTGGTGTGGGGTGCGTGATTATTATATGTTTGGGTAGAATTAGTGGTGTGGGGTGCGTGTGTATTACATGCAAATGAACTGCGTATCAAATGCATGCGAAAACTGTGTATCATATGCACGTAAAAACAAATTTTCGCGTATAAATTGCACGATAATACACAATGCGTGCTATAGAGACACATTCACGTGAGAACAGGCTGTCTAATCCGTGACCAGTGTTTTGTTTTGCTCTATCCTCTCTGTGTTTCCACGTTCATCAATACGGAATGTGTCAGGTCAGAGGTCACTCGTCATGCGTCGGGTCAGAGGTCACTCGTCGGGTCAGAGGTCACTCGTCATGTGTCGGGTCAGAGGTCACTCGTCATGCGTCGGGTCAGAGGTCACTCGTCGGGTCAGAGGTCACTCGTCATGTGTCGGGTCAGAGGTCACTCGTCATGCGTCGGGTCAGAGGTCACTCGTCATGTGTCGGGTCAGAGGTCACTCGTCATGTGTCGGGTCAGAGGTCACTCTTCCGCCGGAACTAGACTCACGTACGGTCATAACCGGAAGCCAGTGATTATAGTTTATAAAAAGTTATAAATATAGATATTTTTCTTACAAAAAACGCTTTCAGAAGGCCTTTTTTAACGCCTGGAGTCGCATGGATTACGTTTGTGATGGATGGATACACTTTTTTGGGTTTCAAAATCTCAGGCATCATTCGCATTTAAGCATGTTTAGATATTTGTGCTGGAAAACAAGACAGAAATACTGAGAAAGAACATCTTTTTCTGCAGTACCAAAAGCATATTGTACCCTTACAAGTCAAAGGGTATATAGACATACATTTTTTCAACTATATAGCCTATATAGACAGACACTTCTCATCATCAAATAAAATTCTCTATCCATAATCCAGTTGAAGACTTTACACATCAGTTGCACCGGCAAGTGAAGAAAATCAATCCAGCAGTTGATCCAGCAGTTAAAGCATGTTGCTTGTTGTTTTGGTGTTTATTTAACAATCTGAGGGGAAGAAATACAGTTTCATGTACAGTTTGCACATTGACATCAAAGTGAACTCATGATTGTACCCTATTGATGGCATAAGTCTAATTTTAGTGCGGGAAACCTCGATTAAGGAAGTGTTTGCAGTTTCAGTACCCAGATCAGTAGATCAAACCCATTTTACTTCTGCATTTGTGGTATTTGCATGTGAAACATTGCATTTTCACTTAGAACAAATGTAAGGATGAATGAACGTTTATTAAAACATGCACTGACGAATTGTTCACAATAACACCAGAAACATGAATAAAAGTCGCTACAGTTTAAAACATGTGAAGAGACATTTGACTGACTCCAGCCCTCACTTATTAAAAGTAATGAGACTGAGTCTGTGTCAATAATTCAACAGGGTGTGTGTCGTGTGTGTAAGTTACACATTCAACAACAGTGACTCGAGTCGCTGCCGCTCTTAAAGGGACAGTACACCTAAAAATTAGCAACTGCCAGGGATTATGTATTATTGTACAAAACCCAGAAACGAGTTAGCATTTTATCACATCTGGTCCAGAAGTGAACGGGTTTTTGGTTAAAGTCTGTAGTCAATAATTTATCACTAAAACTCATCATTAATCAACAAAATGACCTATTTAAACGTTTTTTTCCTTAAAAAAAACTTAATTCCTTAAATTATCTTGAATGTAACTCAACACCCTCACCTCATTTAGTATTCGCGATTCTATGAATATGCAATTGAGCCCCGCCTCCACTCACTCGCTCAGCTCAGAGATCCACTGGTTGACGATCACACGTTGATCTGATTGGTTACAAGGTCGTTTGTGACGTCAGAAACACCAGCGATTTCAAACCGTGTTTTTGAGACTGTCTTTGGTTCACTGCAGTTTTAAGCAGAAAATACTCAGCAATGCTGTCGACTTATGAACTTACACATGTGTGTCTTAGAGCAGATTAAAAACACCACATAGACACACGAAGTTGTGTTCATACGTGAAGATTCACTACGGTATAAACAAAACATGTTAGTATCATAAACTTTTGTCGGTCACTGAGCTTTTTTTCTACAATAATCCAAGTGTGCATTTTTTGATATGCAAGTGATTATTATTGTTTATTTATTACAATCTGACTAGCAATAATAATAAAATAAAAAAAACCTAGCAAAAGGCACTTCCTTAGTGACATCATCCTCCAGGAAGTGACATCATTAATGGGGGAATCAGAAGCACAAACTTCAGTAAGTGTTGTCATTGGATCTGATTAATTTTGTGTTTGAATGTTTTGTGTTTGCGTTGCTCTAAAAAACATCCATCCTGTTTGATAAAATTACACAAATCATTTTAATGCAACATTTGGTTAAAAAACATGAAAGTGAAGCCCTTTCCTTGAGTCTTCATGTAAGCTCATCAGAGAGCCCTTGCATATTTCATTTAAATATCCTAAAATAAGCAAAGATAAGTCACATGCATTGATACATAAGATATCAGTCATATTTGAGCTCTCTTAATTTTCTGAAAATACTTGTTTCTTCACCTCTCGTGAGCTTTTCTCAGTCTTTCTCATTAGACCTTGAAATGTTGCGTTCATAAAATGACTAATTTGTGGTATTTAACATCTAAACATTCTTAAATCAAGATACATTTACTGGACAAGCAGAATGACTGAAGATATTAAGTCTTGTTTAATGCAAAAATTATCAAAATGAAGTGAGTTTGTGCTTAAAACAATAGCATCGGTCAGAAAAAGTCTTAATTCAAAGGAAAAACAAGATATTTTTTTCTGACCACATTGGCAGATATTTATTCATATCAACATTTCCTTGAATTGGATGATACTGTCTGACTGTTAGTGGTTAAAATCAGCATAAAATCAAAAGCACTGGTATCTTTTAAAAGGGATTTATTAACAAAAAATAAGATTGAAATTTATAAATTATGAAATCTAAATTATAGAAGGAATCATTGCAATTGCATGAAAGAAAAATCAAAAGCTTAAAACATTCATAAATCTCACATTCATGCTCTTTTATAAACTGTATACTAGTTTCATCACTTATACAAATGGAAAGTTACAGGCACGAAGGGTTAAAATAAAAAGGAAAGCAGCTCCTCATATTTCACTGTGGCGAATACAAACAACCCAACAAAAATCCACTCATATTGATTAAATCAAGATTAATTAAATCTGCTACCGTCACACACACTGAATGCAATGATGTTTAAACACATGTGAAGTTAACAAGTCAAATGTCACCACAAAATCAAAAGGAAAAAACAAGGAGTTCCATGCATTAGGTAATAAAGTCAACTTTTAGGCTTTTGCATTGACAAATTATTGCATTTATTAAATTATTAAATTGTGTTGTGCATTTGTAAAGTAGTTTATGTTGATGGTGTCTGAACAGGATCTGACTGACTGCATTATCGTAAAGAAAATTAGATTTATGAGAAGTATTTGCTGGGTAAGTGCGGTTATTGTCATAAAAATAATTAAATATTTCATTTAATTAACATTTTTCAATGTGATTTTGTGGTAAATTCAGACCGCTATACACATTAGGCTTGTTTTTTTGTGAAACAGGTCACAGGTCAGATTGACTGAATGGCTTCAGTGCTTTTGGGAGAGAGAAAAAATAACTTTTTAGTGCACTTTAGGTGAAGCTACATAACGCATGCATGACTACACACAAAACTACAAACCTTCTTAACATCACAATTGTAAAAGGCAATAAAGGTGCAGAAATCAGCTTTTAAAAGCACGACCCAGTTCCTGCCGTCCTCGTTTACATTGACCGTGATATTAGGAAGAAACTTTAATTGCAACTGGCTCAAACTCAGCAGACATTCATTACAGTAATATAACGCATTTGTAGAATAAAACGATTATAGAGGTCAGAATGTACAGTGACTGATACTGGCAGACTGTAAAAGAGGAAAAACAAACAAAAAAAACAAGCATAAACGGGAAACAGCAGAGAAACCTATGGAAGCTTGTTTCCGCCACTGAATAAAAAAAATAAATAAATAATTGCGACTTTTTCTCTCAAAATTGCGAGATATGAAGTCAGAATTGTGAGAAATAAAGTCGCAATTGCGAGATATAGTCGCAATTCTGAGAAATAAAGTCGCAATTGCGAGATATAAAGTCGCAATTCTGAGAAATAAAGTCGCAATTGCGAGATATAAAGTCGCAATTCTGAGAAATAAAGTCGCAATTGCGAGATATAAAGTCGCAATTCTGAGAAATAGTCGCAATTGCGAGATATAAAGTCGCAATTCTGAGAAATAGTCACAATTGCGAGAGATAATGCCGCAATTCTGAGAAATAAAGCCGCAATTGCGAGATATAAAGTCACAATTCTGAGAAATAAAGTCGCAATTGCGAGATATAAAGTCGCTATTCTGAGAAATAAAGTCGCAATTCTGAGAAATAGTCGCAATTGCGAGAAAAAAAGAGAATTGAGACTTTATCTCACAATTCTGACTTTTTTTCTCAAAATTGCGAGTTTACATTTCGCAATTCTGACTTTATAACGCATAATTGCGAGTTTATATCTCGAAATTCTGACATATTTTCTCAGAATTGTGAGATATAAACTCGCAATTGCGAGTTATCAGGCCAATTCTAAGGGAAAAACTTTTTTCCCCTCAGAATAGTTTATATCTCACAATTCTGACTTTACAACACGCAATTGCGACTTTATATCACGCAATTCTGACTTTATATCTCACAATTGCGACTTTATATCTCACAATTCTAACTTTATAACACGCAATTGCGACTTTATATCTCGCAATTCTGACTTTATATCACGCAATTCTGACTTTATAACACGCAATTGCGACTTTATATCTCACAATTCTGACTTTATATCAGCAATTGTGAGATAAAAGTCGCAATTACCTTTTTTTGTTTTTCATTCTGTGGCGGAAACAAGCTTCCATAGAAACCTGATGATTGCATGTGAAACTCGTGTGTTCATGTGGGAGGCGAAGGCAGAGGAAGAGCACTGTTGACCTGGAAGCGCGTTTCATCCGATATCCCATACTGCTCTAGCGGATCCTGCGGGAAAGCACACATCACATCAAAGCATCATCAATATTATGATTAATCGTCCAAAGATGGAGATCTCCGTTCAAACACCCACGACTTTATCCCTAAATGACAACGATTCGCCTGTGTCTATTAAACCACACCATTAAACACGTCTTATGGAACAGCTTCACAAACGTTTTGTATCATTATTTCTTCATTATCACAGACGTACTGGAATAAAAGTGTATAGCTCGGATATAAACACTGATGTCTACAGTAGTGATCAAAATAAAGTAAATCACAATTTGAAAGTAGCTTGACACTTTAAATAAAGATTGTATCGATTACATCGTTACACCAGTAGGTGGCGACAAGTGTTAAATAATGTGTTTGTCATTGAATCATTAATTCAAAAGATTCGTTCAAAAACACTGATTCAACCGGTAATGAAACACGTGAATGATTTATGAGTGAGTCATTGAATCATTCATTCAAAAGATTCGTTCAAAAACACTGATTCAACTGGTAATTAAACAAGTGAAGGATTTATAAGTGAGTCATTAAATCATTCATTCAAAAACGCTGATTCATCCGGTAATTAAACAAGTGAAGGATTTATGAGTGAGTCATTGAATCATTCACTCGAGAGATTCGTTCAAAAACGCTGATTCAACCAGTAATGAAACAAGTGAAGGATTTATGAGTGAATCATTGAATCATTCACTCGAGAGATTCGTTCAAAAACGCTGATTCAACCAGTAATGAAACAAGTGAAGGATTTATGAGTGAGTCATTGAATCATTCATTCAAAAACGCTGATTCATCCGGTAAATAAACAAGTGAAGGATTTATGAGTGAGTCATTGAATCATTCACTCGAGAGATTCGTTCAAAAAAGCTGATTCATCCAGTAATGAAACAAGTGAAGGATTAATGAGTGAGTCATTGAATCATTCATTCAAAAACGCTGATTCATCCGGTAAATAAACAAGTGAAGGATATATGAGTGAGTCATTGAATCATTCACTCGAGAGATTCGTAAAAAAAAAATGCTGATTCATCCGTTAATTAAACAAGTGAAGGATTTATGAGTGAGTCATTGAATCATTCATTCAAATGATTTAAAATTTTTTATTCAAATTAATTCAATATTTTTTAAATATAATTAACATTTTGTCAGATACTCTAGTAAATAACATGTTATCTTGTCTAGTTGTCTGTTCAGAATCATGATCACTGTTTTAAACACCAAAATCGTGCAGCTCTAATATGTGGTATATGATTGTAACAAACCTAGGAGGTATTTGCATTAATTAATGATTCCCTCACCTTTCCAGTCAGTCGGTGGATTTCTGTGCGGTAGTAGATCAGGTTCTTGCGCATGAATTCATAACTGTGAGACAGAAGCAGATTACGGTTATAAATCATGAAACGCAGAGGATGATGGGTAATGTCAGCGTCACACACCTGGCTTTAATGATGGCGTCGATCCATTCAACACACTGTTCCTGAGAATCGCATTCAAACAGATACTTCCTCTCGGCCTCGTCCAGGAACACTGGAAAACAAGCAAGAAACAGTGAGTGAGTCACATTCATTTATTTTAATTTTATTTTCTCCATGTTCATCTGTGTTGCTGTTTGATCATAAAGAAGCTCCAGTTCTTCTCTATATCAGAGTCAGTGTTCCTGAACTCCTGAAACGCCTCCACTGTAGTCTCGAGTTTCTCCCGGGAACGAACACGTCACAATATTCCTCATTATAATAATTAATGCGCAGAATAAAGGGGCGGGGCCTGGTTGAGTTAGTAGTGTGTTAAACTGGCGGTTATGGAAAGGGGCGGGGCATTTCCCAAACACACTCGAAGCACTCGACCAATCACAAAACACTGCTCCAGCCGACCAATCAGAGCACATTGTGCTTTTCAGGAGGAGGGGCTTCACAGAGACAGGAAGTAAACAGAGCGTTACTGACAGACTGGGAAGAGAGGAGCCGCAACAATGGAGAATATGAGGAGAATAATCAACATTCAAGCAGGAAAACCTGTTCTAGTAGAGCACAAATAATAGGTTCTCTTTAAAGAGTCGTAAAAGGACGCGATACAGAGATCATCAGCCCTTTTAGATTAAAAGCACAATGTGTGAATCTTCGACTCTTACCAATAGAGAAAGCATGATCGTCTTCTCTCTCCACGCGACACTGTTCCAGCAGCAGAGCGCCGATGGGCTGAAACACAAGCACACTGAATGAATGTGACCGCGGCGTTGAGATTCAGAGCAGACGCTCAAACCGCACTCACCTCGTCCTCGTCGGTCCGGAAGTAAAACAGGAAATTAACGATCAGTTTCACCAGGCGCTTCTTCACAACTGTGGCGTGAAACAGAGAATTAGGTCAAACTAGTCAAGTGAGGCACAGTCATAATCTTACATTAAACTGAGTAGATTGGCTTTTTAGAGCATGTTTAGTCAATATAATGCATGGTTTTTATATTTTTATTAGTTTTTACCATTTAAAACTTCATTTTACACAATCAGAGGCACTAGATAAAATAAAGCTTATTATTATTGATTATAACATTTATCGTGAATGATGGTGATTTGAGATGACATAATCGCTGATTTGATTATGTAATCAACTTGGCAACAACAACCAATGGGAGCACACGTAGTGGATGTCACATGATCCGGCCGCCTCCTGGCGCTTTTTTTTAACGTACTATTGACCGAAAGCTATTAAATTCCTGTCAGATTTTTTTATCGTATTGCGTAGAAACGCACTCATTAATTATTACAAAGCGGTCTAGTTGTCGTCACATCGCAACAGCTTAAAAGATTATGAGCATTGTAGTTTAGTTGCATTCTGACATCTTTGTGGATTATTACGAGAATACGAGAAAGTTCTAGTTGTTGCGTAACCTGCCGGCCAGTATTATTGCATCATGAGAGCTTCGTTATACATTTAATTTTCAATGTTGGCAATTTTAAAGTGACAAATTGAAGCTAAAAGTTGAACAGAGATCGAGTTTATGCAAATTCGGCAACAATAGAAGTTTGGAGTTCATGTGACTCGCCGACTGGTCCAGTTGGAACACCTACTAACGATTAAATCGCTGTCCGATAACTAAATATAACGTTACCTATATTAGCACCCTCACAGGCGGACGATAAGTTTTTGTTGACTCTTTAAAGTCGGGTGTTTTCTAATTGGCTGTCAATGTTTTTATCGCGTTCGTCAGCTTTAAACAATTGAACGGCGAAAAGTTGAACAGAGATCAATTTTATGCAAATGAGCAGCAACTACCTATCAGAGTGCCTGTAGTGAAGGTCACGTGACTCGCAGTTGGCGTACGCACAAGTGACTACAAGCAAATAAATATAAGCTGCTGTACTGTGATGTGAATACTATACTACTTTAATTACTGCTGTCATATCTTTACAAGACAGAAATAGTACCAGTAGTACGCCACAATGCTATTTCGAATCACAACATTGATCGTAAGGGGACAGTCTAGTTCCGTCTAGTTTTCTCGCGTCTTCTGGCGTAGAAAAAGATGGTTATAAATATTTATGATAGCATATAATGGTGAGTGAAATGACCGGCTCTTACCGTCTCCTTTCTTCGGGCCTCTCATGCCCAGCTCGGCCGCTCTCTCTGACGGCTGGCGGCTCAGGAACACCAGCTCCTTCTCATTAAATCGCATTTTTAGCTCTTTGACAGCAGTTTCGTCTCATAAAAGCGCATTTTAGGACATCAAACAGATCTGATAATTCTCATCCGGACTGTCAGTCATACTGCTGTAGCTCCTCTGCGAATGAACTGAATCAAGCAATAATGTGTCTGTCTGATGCTAAACACACACACACAACCATAGAAATACCTACGTAGATTCCAAATTCAACTTCTCCAGAGACGTCGGCGCACCCGCCATCTTGGAATGGTCAGCGTGTCGTCACTCAGAGGGAGAATTAATGATAATTTGTTTTACTTTTTTTTATTTATGTATTTATAAAGTTTCTATTTAATTTGTATTCGTGTGTTGTATTTTTATTTTCTATTGCTTTAAATGTTTTATGAATTATTTTTTAGTAGACTATCTGTATCTTGTTTGAAAATGTACTGTATTGCCTTGCTTTACCTTGAGTTTCTTATCCTGTCTTTTTTTGTTTTTGTGATACATGCATTCCCTGCGACCTTTGTTCAATTAAAAAAAAGAGTAAGAATCAATGATACCACAACTTTGCGTAGCCTATGGTTGTGAAACCACCGAGATTTAAATTCCTGATGAAATGGGATAACCTTTCACATGTGAGAATGTGTTTGATTTGTGTTTTTATATGCGTTGACTTAACAGGTTTTAATTCAATGTTGACTTTTTAATGTCATGTTAGTTGACACTTTTATCTTGTATTGTGTTAGTTTAGCAAAATCATCTACTGAAGTCTATTATATAGATATTAATCGATGCGTCTTGTCTAACTGGTTGCAGACGCAGTCAACTTGCTCGAGTGTTCACCGATGTTTTGACCGTTCCAATATGGCGGACGACCCAACAGCACGAATACGAATTCTATGTGTATATTTCTATGCACACAACCATTCGCTGGAAGAGCTGAACACATGTAGCCGACAGAGGGCGCTGCTTTACCACTTAAAACGTCTGTACACAAAAATATAGCTAAGGGGCACGTTTTGAAATGTCTTTAAAATAATGATAATAATCACAAACCCATGTTCATGTTAATTGCGGTAATAATATTTGATTTTTCTTTTTTAAGTACACATTTTCTTCTTTTAGATTTAAGCACAGTCACGGTGCTTTTTTAAAGAAAAAACAGTCACTTGTAATGTAGCATTGCTATTGTGCTTTAATCAATAAAGTTGTGCGTGTCAAAATAACAGGAACAGGAAGTGCATCACTCGTCGCGCATGCGTATTACAACTGCGACGGCGGCAAGCGTGATCTGGACGTTGGGTAAACATTTTAAAAATGAGTTTGTTTGATACAAAATGATGCTTATTTTCGCGTAAAAACACCAAACTAAACTCGATCTTTCAATAAGCTTTAAGCGTTTGTTATTGTTCATTGAAAGTGCAGCTTTGAAGTCAATACGGTTCGTTTCAACTCTTATACACACTAACTATTGTCTTATACATCATTATATTCATGTATGCTTCGTTTTATTCTATTTTAATTGGTAAGTTAAACGATGCACCGTAAATGGGATCATTTTGTAATTACACTTATGCGTCTTATTATTTGTATTCCATTTTGTTATGTTAGTCAAGGTTTCTTGCTTTAAATACAATCATAATTATTAGACTATTTTCCACTCTCTCTCAGACCTTTACAATGTAACAAGCTGTAACTTTCAGACTATTAAATGTAAGTCTAAAATAATCATAAAGCTTTTATTATTGGCTACCATCTTTTATGAAGATTTTTTGTAACCCCATTTCAGTAAATTATCGCGTAAGAATAAGTCGGTTATTAATTTACCTTGTTTAAAAAGTACGCTGTATATAGTATAATATTGGGTAGTTTGAATAAAATAACAGGAAACCTTTCGATAGTGTAAAATTAGATATTATTCACATTTTTGCTAAGTCGTACTTCAAAACATTTAATTGTAGCTGAATATCATGAACAAAAATCACTGTAAAATAAAATAAAAATGATCAATCGCACAAATAAATACAACTGAACAAAGATATAATTGAAATAGTGTTTTAAGATTTTCAGGTACAGAAACTAATCAAATGTAGAATAACACTGCACTTTTAAATATACATTACAAAAGTTGAATTTTCTCTTTGTGTTTTGTTTGATTAACTTTATCAGAGACGGCGGGAATATTAGGCTACTGTCACTTTAAGAGCTGCACTGATCCAATATACTGTTACACGTGTGTTTTATTTCTCAACTGTTTACGTTCACTTAAAGGAGAACTCCAGCGCAAAATGAACCTTTGGTCTAATTACACATTGTTACCTAGTCAACCGTTATCTGAGATTTGTTTTCATGATTATCGAATGTTAATAGTTTTATCTCTAAAAACAGTTTAGCCTATAAAGCTAGTATAACGCTAGTATATTGGGCATAGTGTAATGACAAATAAAAATCGCTTGTTAATACCACTAACAAGGCTGAAAATAGCCCCACACTAACACGGTAGCATAATGAGGGTCCCTACCTTCAAACCGAAGCATTGAGAACTTTGTCAGTGTCCAGACAGTTTAATAAGAAGATATTTTAAACATACAGTCAACTTCGCGTATACAGACAGGAGCCATCTTTGAAATACAGTCTTTACCAGTCGATCTACGAACGCCGATCCAAGTGCGCTGGTGAGATGTGAACGAGCTATAAGTTGTGATAAGGTGAGCGCGAACAGCAGGCTTGGATCGGCGTTCGTAGATCGACTG